TTAAGTAAAAGTATAGATACTGCAGTTTGAAAACACTCTTGTAAATGTTGAAGTATCAACATGACCTCTTTACTTAAGTAAAAGTGAAAAAGTATGTGCTCCAAAAACTACTTAAAGTATAAAAGTATAAAGTAACCTTAAAAAAAAAAAGCCAGATGCCACTATATGAATTGAAAGCTAAATTTTTCGACTATTTAAAAAAATTCTTAGAGATAGGGCCAAGGATGAGGGAGGTCTTCTTCTCCATCTCCAGATACGTTCTCGCCTGTGTCTGGCCTTTCAGACATTTCAACATCTTTTTCTGAATCCTACATTGTAGCATGGCATAGACAATTCACATTTGCAGTTTGAAGAACACCTGCTTGCTTCTGATGATTTTCTTTGGCATCAGCATAAATTTGACGAATAGTGTTTGTGTTATATGACTCATCCATTTACATTAGTTTTCACTAGATGTGGATGGTGCCAATGATCTGCATTGGATGGCACATGGCCTGAAATAAATATAAACATTAAACCGAAGCCAAGAGTAACGAGTAACGTTTGTTTAAAAAAATTAAGGAATAGAAAGTACAGATACTTGTGTGAAAATGTAATGAGTAGAAGTCAGAAGTAGGAAGAAAAATAAGTAATGGAGTAAAGTATAGATACCTAAAAAGTGTACTTAAGTACAGTAATTAAGTATTTGTACTTTGTTACAGATAGAAGTAACTTAGAAAACTGGAAGGTGTTTCTTCTGATAAAAGAAAGAATTCATACCTTGTCAAATATACTCAGTCATTTTTTACTCTGTACTTTGAGTAGGCCGTTTTTGTTCTCTGTTTTAGCTCCTGATGTTTGCTTAAGGTTGTTGTCCTGAAGTTTACCTCTGCCCCAGTCTTTAAATCCTTGAAGATTGTTCTATATGTAGCTTCCTCTAAGGTTCCGGTTTACTTCACCAGCTACTCTTCCTCGTTGAAGAAAACCATCCTCACAGCATGATTATGCATGTAGGCGGAAAAAGGTCAGTTTGAGCTCAATATCAGAAGACCCTCTTCCACGTTTGCAGTCTCCCAAACATATAGACAACTACTTTCTTCTTGCTCTTTGAAAAGGAGCAGATTTCTCCACCACACAAGCTGCAGATCCAGGCAGCTCCTCCAGGCTGCTTCACTGCTAAACTCTTTACCTGTTCATCCTTCACTAAAGATTTTGCTGTTTTGGTATTTTCTGTCCATTTTAAGATGACAGATGGATCAGTGTTCCTGCCCGATTTTAAAATCGGGACTATTGGTTTATGGCCTAACCCTAGTCTCCTACAAACACTGATTTTCATGTTCAATGATGTTCTCTAAAAAAACAATTGATGTTTTGCAAAGAAGCTAAATTGACTCTAAGATTAAATCACAGACTATACTGGCTAATTAGGTGGCTTTTAAATGCAGCAGGATACATTGGATTTTATTTTGGTAGTATTAGTACTTTTCAGAGCTGTCAGTAGAGATATAGGAAAAACATGTTATAATTAACTTCTGCTTCACTATTGCTCACTTCTTTATGTTGGTTTGTCACATGAAGTCCCAATAACGTTGCAAAAAAATAGAAATCTAAATGTGTCAATTTTGTTTAAAAGAAGTGCATTTTTTCTTGAATTGAGTAGGTAAGTGAGACACTTTGCCGATGGAACAAGACAATTTACATTTAAAATAACAGAAAACATTTGCATTGTCTTATTTCAAGTGCATATTATCTAATTATCTTATTTCAAGAGTGCAAAAATACTAATTTCACTGGCAAATCACCTTCTTTACCTACTCAAAACAAGTGTAAATACACTGAATTTAAGACATTTTTACTTATTTCTAGATCATTTTTGCAGTGAAGACCTGATAAGGTTTATGATACACTTATTTTAAGGTAGAAGCAAACAGTCCAAGGTTTTAGTAATTGTGAAAATTCTTTAATGTCATTATATTCTTTTTGATCAAGATAAACATTTGAAATAACTATGAATGATCACTGTGGCCATATTAAGGTTTGTTTAAAGTATATTTAACAGGGGGGTGGAGGCTCAGGACATAGATGTCTGTCCTTCTCTTGGTGAGTTGTGAGTCTGAGGCATTCTCCTTCAGTTATTGTGCCCTTGGGCACGATACTTTACCTACCTTGCCTGCTGTTTGTGGTCAGAAGACAGTGATTGCTTCAATTCCTTCAGTCCGCCCTATTGCATGCAGCTATATATAGCCACAGCTACATATATTCATCAGCATGTGAATATAGGACTGAATGTAATGTAAAGGGCTTTTGGAATGTTTTGGATTTGACAAAGCGCAGGCCGTTCATCAATTAGTATTCAGCATATTTATTGATTTGCCATTAGTCTGTAAGGGCACAATATATGAAATCCCACCGGCTGATGCCAGATTTTGCATATTTAAAAGTCTATGAAACAGGTTTATGCATTTACTATGATTCAGTTAATGCCTGTTTGTCCAGACCTGAAGACTCTCCTTCTCCCTATTTTAACGATAAACCTACTTCTCTTCACCTTCACAGCTCTGTAAATGTAACAGTGCATAGTTTTCTGCAGCATCTCAAAGGTCTCCAGCTATGCCTGACTGCTTGTTTATAGAGGTGTTATCTATGTTGGTGCTGAGTCTTTGCAAACAAACATACAAAAGAATTTTAACCAATTCTTGGCTTTGTTGATTTGAAAGACGTTTGTTGTGATTATCATTATAATTGAGCTAGAGTGCTTCCTTTTTAAACACTTTTTATATTTCTACATATTTTGTGTCAGATTTGAGGTATTTGGGATATCCTTCTTTGCACGGTTGTTGTCATTTAGTTGAAGTGGAGACTTCAATCCCTGACTCAGGTCTTTGACTAAGCAATTTTAAAACCTTATTTCTTTAATTTCTTTTGGATTAATACCTTTGTGGATACCCCAAGTTTGCTAAAATTTAAGTGATAAACCAATGGGGGGATATTTCCCTTTCTTTTTATCTGCTAAAGAGTCAGAATAAGCCATGAAGACACAAGTAAGCTTCATACCATCACTCTATAACCAAAATGTTTGAGAGCACATGCCTTCCAAAATGTTTTACTTCAGCCTTACAGCCTTTGGTTAGTTTTTTGACTTTGGCATAAGATAACGAATGTAAATATGACAACATAGTAAAAACAGAAGATCCCATATAAGGATGATTACATTGCAAGAATTAATGTCATTTTCAAGTGTGCCACTCTTTATTGCTTTAGGCAAATAAGAAATATGTTTATATTTCTTAATAAAAAAAAGAAAAAAAAACTGTAAAAACAGAAAGGGGCCACATGGATGTGTGACTAATTTTTGGTTACACTGAAAACTGATAAAGTGAACACTTTTACTTTGAAGATGATCTTTGCAGGAAAAGGTCCCTTTCTCTTTACACACCAAAGTCAGTCTCTGTTGAAAACTGTTTTTTCTGTAGTCTCTGTAGTTTGATTGTCTGTCAGTATTTTTGCCATCCTTTCGCATTCTAAAATGGTTAATAAAGAAAGCTTTTTAATCCCTGGGTGGTTTGCTGGTTTCATTGGTCTCATGGGACTGTACCACTCTTATATGCTGAAAAAAATTCTCCTGACTTCTTCTCGCCATGTTAATGTTTCTCATGATTTCCTCCTTATCAGTGGCAAATTTGGATAAAAATTTAAATCTGAAGACCTTTATCAGGCTTTTTGTTGTGGGTATGTTCTGTGTTATGCATCGATGTACATGTCTGGAGTTTCTTCAAAGGCTTCAGGATTTTTTTATCTAAAATATTAGATTGATACATGTGCTCGCCCTTAAACTTAAAGTTTGCATTCTTCAAATATTGTAGATATACAAGAATCAATCAGAACCTTTTGTTTACCTCTTAAGTCAACTTCGCTAAATTATCACAGCATTTAGTCCTTTTGAGGTCTTCTTTGGGTCTTAAAAAACTCCTCATACTTTAAGCACCGCTTGTTTCTCAAGCAGCTACCATCCAATGTGGTGTGGCATTATAGATGGGTCAATACACAACTTCTATTTACTTCAACTGCTTTTATTTATTTATTTATTTATTTATTTATTTATTTATTTATTTATTTATTTATTTTTTGATGATCTGGATGTTTTTATAGCACACAACAGAGGATTTTTGGGTCAAAACTGACAAGCATTTGAAACTTTTCATCATTTAATTTGCATTTACTCAAGGTCCAATTCAGTCAAAAGGAAATAAAACATGGAACATGATGCCAAGACTAATTTTTGTGCCAAACATACTTTTCAGAATTGGCCTTCTCATGGTTGATACATTTGTATTGTTAGATCTTTTCAAACCTTTCTAACTTCTCTCCAAATTTTAGGTCTAGTCAAAGGAGACGAATGTGCACATCTCTGTAGATCATCCCTTGAGTTCCAACTATGGGAAATCAGCATTCAAGGCTGGAATTAAATAGAAGGTGCTTCATTAAAGAGTTAACAATCGATTAATTCAGTGTTTCTTCTTTTGCATATTTTCCCCCCAAAACATATTTGATTGTTTCCTTGGTTGAAACCAAGAGCCTAAAAAGGAGCTGAAAGTTTCAACTGCTTTAATTTGGCTCTGACATTCAACCAAGGAAACAACCAAATGAAAGTTACCAAACTAACCTTCAGCTGCTTTTGCACTTACTTATTTCCTTATATTGGACATGAATCTATATATTCTTGGGTGCAAACCTAAACAATATGAACAGAACTTCTGTAAAAGGGTAGGATATTTGCCAACCTTTGTCAGGATAGAGGAATGTCTGTTTGATATGTCTGTTGAGGGGGCATGAGCAGCACTGCGAGCTTAAAGCTCTGTATTATAATTGCATCTTTTGTCTTGCATATATAACAAGAAGAAGAAAAAGGAGGGCGGGAACAGTGTTACCTCACCAACCAACATGGGGGCGTGGTCTTCATTTGGACGCAGATATATGAATTTGGACAAACGTGATGTTGAGTCATTCTGAGGGACAACGCTGGTGGAGATGTAACCAGGGGAGCGTGGGCAACATCCAACTCTCCCCGTTTGCGGCGGGGAGAACCTTGGAGGATGGACCCGTTAGAAGCATAAATGGACTGCGCCGACGGGGACGTCACGATGCGTCGTCGCCACAAAGCTCATGAACGCGCTCATTTGGCGACCAGCATGCCGCACACCCAGAGGGACCACCGCTCACCAGGGGACCCCATACAAGCCCACCATCGCTGCAGCACACGGAGAGGGAAAAGTAAGACCCACTTCTTCTGTAAAAAAATACAATTTTCTGACACTCTGAGCGTCTGGATAAAAAAGGCGCAGCTGCCCTTTAATGCTCCGAGCCGTGCCAAATGAACACCTCTTCATCATTTATTATTATTGGTTTACCTGAAATGTGGATCAGATGAGGATTTCTAAAAAATAAAATGCTAAAATAATGTTTTCAGGGATGCAGGTGTTGAGACGAGTTAGAGATGCATGCATGGTGCGCAGCATCATCTGAGATAAAGACTCAGAGCAGCATGTGATGTCAGCAGCAAGAGACGTGCAGCTTCACTTGTGGCTGCAAACACTTTGGGCAGCAGATCATTTGCAGTTGCAACATAAGTAGTGCATAAATGTTAATAATAGCGCCACAGAATATAAATCTGCTTAATACCATTGTGACCATTCAGGTCACTTCACAGCCGACTTAGAAAAAACCCCAACAGAAATCAGGTTATTTTAGATATATTGCATTTATTGTTTTTGCAGACTTAAACCGTGTGAACCTACTGACTCAGGATCTGCCATGCTCTCATTACTTTCTCAGCTGTTACATAAGTCCATTTTGCACCATTTACTACATCTGAGGACAGATTTGAGAGTTATTATTGCATACTTCATAACGCGGGGTGGCAGTCGATATAGAATCATATTACTCCAGATTGTTTTCTGTTCCTTACATCACTCTCATATTCGGCCTTTTCTTTTCATTTTTTCTGCTCAGCGAGAGATTAGCCTACATATTAAACAGGTCAATAAATTTACAGCATGGCTTTCTTTCTATCCAGCAGTAAGACTTTCTGCAGGCTCAGGTTAGAGCTCTTACATAAGGGCCGTTTAATCTATCTGGAAGCTTTCTACTTTCATTTTTTTTTTATATTCAATTATATATCCCCATTATACAAGCTGTGTTTTGTTAAAAGCATTTTAAATAGACAATATGTTAATTATGGATGTGATCTAAGTTTAATGTTTGGTCAAAAACGCGTGTTTTACACATTCATGATGGCACAGAGTTATCTATTTTGCTTCATTACAGAACCTAAACCATAAATGTATCCTAACAAGAAAGCCTGAGATTTAATTTGATGGAAATATGTGAAAAAATGCCTTAAGGTATCAAAAAGGGGGTATTATATCCTGCCTTCGGCAGCTGGGACGTGCGCCAGGACGCACAACAGGTCTGAAATGGAAATGGGCCCCATCAGTCTGCAGCTGCATCATCTGCAGCCACGGAAGCTTCAACTGGACAGAGATGCAAACTGGGAAGATTTTATGATAGTTCCAATATACGTTTAGGGAGAGATCTCCCCTAAAGGGATAAACAATATGTATATGAGGACGACAGAAAATTAAATCTCTTCTTTTCGGTGCACTATAATGTTTTTTTTTTCTTTTGTTTCTTTTTAGAACTGAAGAATCAAGACATCCTTTAACCTCCAGGTGACTATGACTGACTCGCCCACCATCCCTCTGCAATGTGATACAAACTTTTCAAACATAAAGCGATGGTAGAAGTCAGTGATAGGCGTTAAAATCCAGCCGGGATCTCAACTCCATCGCCGCGACTTCATAAAGAAATAAACCGAAACTACACAATAATTTCCAAAAAAAAAAAAAAAAAAAAAGAGAGAGAAATGTATTGCTGTGCTACTTTTTCTATCTGCGTTATTTAAAATCACAGAAAACAAACCAAGATATAATAATCGGGTGAATTTTAAACACACCCAGCTTAAAAAAGGGCGCAACGATACAAATGAATTAATTCAAAAAATACATTATTAATTACTAAAAGAAGTAATGTAATGTAAATAATCCCTTTAACTTAATATTTAGGAATAAGGGCTATTTGCTGGGTTTTTGCTTGTATTTGTAATCTTACATGATAAGAAATGGTTTGTTTGAAAGGTGTGAGTGAATAAAAATCTACAGCTGAAATGTGCAACATGGTTTAAATATGTGGAGAAGAAACTGATCTGCAGTGAGGGGTGTTTCTGGCAAACATCCAAACATTCATTGAGAGAAAGCCAAATAAAGTGTTTTCCTACTAAATGCATTTCTTCTTCTGTTAAGTTGCTGCAGCAGCAGTTTGTTCAGCCAGTGGGTTCTAAGTGTATGAACGAAGTCATTGGCCTGTTTTCCTCATGCTGTAAAAAAATAAATAAATACATAAAAATGTAGATTTTATTAGTTAGATCAGCCCCTTCACTTACAGCCAACGGAAAGCTGATTCAAATTAACAAATAAAGTTTGGGATAAAATGCGCATTTTCCCCTTACACAAAAATTTTGCTTATTTTTCTATTTTCTCTGTATATGTACGGTAAATTATTTTTAAGAAATGCTTTTTAAAACATCTCAGTTCTCAAAATTAATAAGAATTTTTCTTTGCCTCCTAAATATCTTTATCACCTTTGAAACATTCCAATCTGTTTATTACGCATTCTGCAGCATGACAAAAAATTTACATTTGCTCCCTTTTTCGGATGCTTTTACACAAAATATGAGATTTAAAAAAAATCGGACTTCACAAATAACTTTAAAATGCTACAAATTTATATAATTCTAATCTTTAAATGAAGAAATACAGTTTTATACAGAGTAGTATTTGTTTTCTGTAAAATCAAAGCATGTAGTATTTCTGCTTTATTTGCACCTTCTGTTGCATTCATTAAAATGTTGTTACTGTTTTTTTTTTTTTTTTTTTTTTTTTTTTGCATTATGGGATGGATTTGCTTTGAAATCCTATAAAATTCAGATTTCAGTTGCATGAAACCTTTAATTGCTTAGAGGATGTATTTTTCCCCAGTAGCTTCCCGTTGTGAATCTTTAGTGATGCTTTTTTTTCTTGAAGCAATTTCACAGGGGTGCTTTTATCACTATGTGATCAGTCGTCTGTGTTAACACTACATAATGTGTGACTATTACTATCTTAATTTACACCTCTGCCTGCTGGTTGGCACATATTCTAGAGTAAATTAGCTTTGTTTTGGTGAATTAGTCCTAATGTCTTTTCCTTTGTTGCTGTTTGTCTTTCCAGATGCATCGAGAGGTGTTGTTTTTATCCCATCTGAAGAGCTGTATCCAAAGGCCTGAGGGGTTGTCTGTTATCTTTGGTTATCTAGCTGTATGAGTGACGTACATTCTTCATAAAGCTAGATAACCGAAAGTAACAAGAATCCCATTACACGCATGCACTGGAAAAAGGAAAACAACATGGAAAATAGTCCAGTCGAAGAGCAGTAGCAGATAGGGCTGGAACTGGACGACAGCTGCTGCTAACCAATGATGTGAAGGTATGATGCTGCGTTACATAAGGGCTGATTTTACCAAGAGGGGAGGGATGCATCTCTGTGCAAAAAAGATAACTGTGATATAAAAAAGAAAATGAACACAAATGTGCATATTATCAACGTGAACAATAATCCAAACTCAATAATCATTTAAAAATGATTTAAAACCTCAGCAATCCTCAAACTACGCTTTTAGTTTTTAAAGCCTTTCAGCTAAAAGAAATTATTAAGTGACATAAAAAAATATTTGTTTAAAATCACACCCTGACAGGTTTTTAGAATTTTTCAATATTTAAAGAAAGTCAGTAATACTGAACCCATTTGAAAAAAATCATCTCCATTAAGAGCTGTCTTCTTGTCCCACACACACCTCTTTCAAATCTTCATTTAATCTGATGAATGATCTCATTTAGCAACACAAAATAATTAAACAGTTTTTTTTTTTGTTAAAAAAACATGAGTTCGATAAAGATTTTAGGCCCATACATTTTTTTCATTATTTAAAGTACTTTTTAAAACATAACTTGGCATGGACCTTTTCTCTCAGAATGACAATCATCAAAAATATATATGACGTTATCTAATTACTTTTACCAAAAACAAAACAAAAAAAAGCAACACTTTTTCAAACTGTTGCTAAAATAACAAAACATAGTGTAAAACAGCTATAATTATGCAATCTTGAATTTTTTCAAATTCAGAATTGTTTTGATTTTGATACACTGACTCAAGTAGAAGTGTAAACACCCACTAGCAAAGAATATTATCTCCTTTTTGCATTTCTGCTCTTCATAACAAACATTGACTTCTTTGATATGGCTCACTAACCAAGGCCTTTGTGTGTTAATGAATGGCTTGAGCACACAAGGGCAAAAAAATAAATAAACATCATGTAATCAGTTGTGCTCTATGCTTGTTTTCCAGTGGTTCTTTTCACATGTAGATCATTCAGAAATAGGCTACACATGCCTTGTACAGATTATCAGCCCATTCCGATAATAAGGTAACCAGCCTGACATTAATATCTGATATAAGATTTAGAATCAAAGCTAAATTAAGGAGGGATTTTAGTTTTTTTTTTTACTTGACTATGGCTGTTAGTAGATTTTGGTTTGTTTATCCTCCGAATGCCTCCATTAACAAAAAAAAAAGCATCTGAGGGAATAGTTTTTAAAAATTACTTTCAATATCTTTTTTGCACCATAAAGAACGGAGGCAAGCATGAAAACTGCAGAAAAAATTTGAGTGGCCAATATGGACAGATTGGCTAAAAGGGGTTTCTCTCAGTATGGCTTTAATGCAAGCACCTCCACTGATGGAGTGTGTAAAAGATAAAATCCAAGATGTTGCTTAGATAGTCTATCTTGTATAGTCTCCAGCTCACCAGCCTGAGGCATTCCAACTGAAGTTTCTAATGGTTTTAACTCAATAACCATAATGGTCAGAAGTCCTTAACGTTGGATTTTCTTTGTTAAATATGAGTGACTCTTATTTGGACAATTGAATAGAGGAGCACACAGCAACAGGTGCAGGAGGGGAGGTGAAGGGGAAAGCCATTGTGTTAGAGAAAACTAAGTTCAGCACCTACAGTGCCCTCTCATTAAACAGTGGGAAATGTTTGTTTAGGAAAGTATGACCTTTCCTGATCCTTGGTATCCCTTCATTTGGTAACTTGTCCATGTGTTGATGTTACAGCTTTTAGCATTTAGCAGCAAACTGGTTCAGATACATGTGGCAGTCTTTTTATACACCCCCCCCCCCACATGAATAATAATCCATACTCATCAGGGTTTGACTTCTTTTATGGTACCCTTCATAAAAGCACATAATGAGACTGCAGCTCTTGTTGGGTTTCAGAGAGCACGTCCTGCAGAGGCAGAGGTGGAGACAAAACAAAGACCATCGCCAAAGGCAATTAGCAGCACTTTGCCTCATTTAGAGCCTCTCCACTCCAGTGTAAGCTTTTTGTTTTCTTTTTATGCAGGGGACTTTTATGGAAACATGTAGAAAGAAATGAAAAATTAAACAAAAAAAACACACCAGAAGAATGAAAACCTTTAACCATGATCTACAAACCCAGCCATAGACACCAGCAGGCTTCTTTTAAACTACATTAAAAAGAGAGATTATGGTTTGTCATTATCAAATACATGACGCTTCGTATTAGATGATGTTAAACCTGAGTGTCAGAGAACGGTACAGGAAGTCATTCAATGACAGCACATGATATTGCAATTAGCAATAACACGCAACATAACTGTTTTTGTGAGATTCCATGAAATTTGTGATTCAAGTGTAACCTTCCCCTAAAAGCCCATTGGATTCTGTTTTACAAGCAAAAATCTCAAACTGAGGTTGCCGCCTCTTCAGGCTGTACAGTTGGGTTTGAATGAAGCAGGTTGGAATCTATTCTCTGTTGACCACACTGTACTTCCTGCAGCCCTCCTCCATGCTTCTCCCACCCTCATTCATTTAATTTCATTCTTTGTGGGGTTTTTTCCCCCAGCTCAGATTCTCAGATGGTTGGCTCTGATTTGTGTGCATTTGCATAATGAATGTCATTTGCATGCTCAGGGGCAGACCATACCATGAAACGGCTGTGTTGGTTGTTTGTGTGAGTGTGTCTGCTCATGCATGAGCCATGTGTGTAAATGTGCATGTTTTATTTAATTTTTTTTAAACGAACAGACCGACATCATGAGTTGTTTCTCTTCCATGAGTTTTTTTTTCCCTTTGTGCCATGTTTGTGAGTGGGAGAATTCTTGCGAACGTGTGGTGGATGTAGGGCAGCGATGTGATGATCATCCCTCCTGCTCCCTCCCCTCTATCTCCCGCTGTCTTGGTAGTCGTTCAGTGATGCACCAACTAGAAGAATGAAAATAAAAGACTCCTTCCTCGATCCCATAATCCTCCTCGTCTCCGACCCCTCCCTTGCCAGTTTGTCCTCCTCTCCCGCATGGCAAGTCACAGTCCCGCCACCATCTTAGGTGCTAAGACTGGCACAAAATGGCAGCTGAACAAGGAACGTGGACAAGCCGGCTTTGCACCTTCCCCCACTTCACGTATGCCCCTATCTTTTCCGCGCCATTGGTCGCCTCAAGACAGTGTTAATTACTGCCCGTGTGTTAATTGCAGAGACCGCCACCCCAGAGACATGCAGGAAGGGATGAGATAGGAGAAAACCGTGCAGCCAGCGTAATGTGAAAGAGGTGGTATTTTTAAGGGCAACTGCGTCGCTTTTGGCCGTGCCCATCGTCACACTGCAGCTGAGCGAGAATTTAATGGCGATGCCCGGGAAAAATCTTGTTAATTAAATTGTTTTAGTGTTTTTAATTACAAAAGCGTTGCAATTAGCAAAACTGGCAGTATTTCTGCATGCGGAGCTTTTAATTCCAGATGAACGTGGAGGCATCTTGATTTGATGAAACGGAGAAGAAAAAAAACAACCCATACCCTCCCACATGTACACGAGGAGCCATAATTAGCTACACAGCACCGTTCATAAATCTCCTCTTGTAATCAGACTTAACAGTGTTCTCACATGGGCAACCCGCTTCTTGTTTTTGTTTTAACCGTTGGTCAGTCGATATAGGATAACATTTCTTCCATTTTTACACTTTCAGGGTCTAGTAGGCACTACTCCTAAGACACTGCGTCACATTGCTGTACAGATTTGACAGCCTATTAATGTCAGGACAAATTTGATGTCGAAGCATTTTGATGAATACCTTGGTGCACATGTTAAAATATTTTTCATTTGCCTGTAAAATTCCTGACCTTCAATCACAATACAGACCTCCGACATATTTTTTTATCCAAGTTCTCATTCCTTTCTAACCCTTTTTTTAAAGAATAACTACAAAAGTTAATAACTGAGACAGATTTCTTATAACGGTCAGGGCTTTAAGTACTGAAAAAAACCAACATACCCAGATGGATCGATGAATCGCTGATTAAGTAGCTGGTTGCATGATTAAAAGCATAGAGAGGTGGGACAGGGTTTGTAGATAAAAGACTGTAGGGATGGACAGAACAGAATATGGTCGGATGAAATAAAAAAAACTGATGGAAAATCGTAACTGTTAAACAGTTAGATGGGAATAAGATCTGCACATACATACTGTATTTCTATACTCTTTTTCTTTTCTTCATACTTCTCTTGACCAAGATTATCTCTGAATAAGATGTTCGCAAGAGCTGGAATTAAATTCTCACTGGGATTATAAACATAAATGTTCTTACAATTGATACTAAAAATTGCACATGGATCATCAAAGCATTAGGAATTTACGGTATATCATTTATTCAATTTATTCAATAATGCATCTTAGCATTAGGGACTGAAAACCTGTCATCAATTCATCCATCTGGATGGATGTAATATTCATTGACTAAATCAAAAACACCTGATATTTTAGAGGTAATTTTATCCTATTGTGCAGAATGTAAAACCCATTGGCTACTATTTATAGGATAAAAGCTGTATATAACAAGCTTATAGCTAGTTAAATAATAAGGCTATCTGCTCAGGTAACTTGTCCAATACCACCTTGCTATCAGCTGTTAAAATTACACGTTGCTTATATGAAACTGTAGCACCGTTTTAGAAGTTACAGGTGGGGTGACCCTTTGTGTTGCATGTAAAGGCTGTCCAGTGCTCTACTACAAGAAATATTTTTCAAACTGCCACACTGGTCTCTGTCTCCTTCAGCCAGCTGACCAGCAGTAAAGGGTAACAGGTGGGGGAGGGGCACATGTGGTTTGCCCTAGGCTCTTTACAGGACCCCACCCCAAAACAGTTGGAGCAATGTAAACGAAAACATTAAATATTCTCCACAGCTTTGATACTAATAAACACTACTTCCCTGATGTATATGAAAATATATATCGATGTATAAGCAGCTCACCACTGGAAAAAAAAACAACATTGATTTTTTAAAACATTCTGCTGATAGAAAGTCTAAACAAATTAGTAATTTTATACTACCGTACATTTGTTCTGCATTCCACAAGCATGTTATTTTTTCATGATATTTGCTACTGAAACAATCCCTAGAAATAGAAAAAAAAAATAGAAACATTATTGTCCTACAGTTAGAAAAATCAGGTGTAATTTTACAACAGAAGAAAAAAAAATCCCTCTGTGTAAATTCTCTTTGAAAAAACATTGAAGCAATGTCGATTTTATTAATGCAGCGATGGTTGATAAAGAATGAAGGCACAACATTAAGACAATGTCTATACGACTTCAAATTAAGAATGGATATGAAAAGGTAAAATGCTGCAACACGAGGACATCCTTTGGTTTGGTCATTTTATATGAAGCTGGTAGGGTTAAATTAGCTTTACTAGTTCTAAGACAAGGTGTCAAAACAGATGTAGGCTATGCTGTGTTTTAATCGATGCGTTGTTTTCCACAAAAATAATAGTAACCACACTACAGTGAGAAATTTTGCCTTTTTTTTGTCAGACAAACGGGTCTGAAGGGGTCAAAGAGATCACTTTATAGAAATGCATCACTTCTTCTTACCTCAAAACTACGCCTGGAAAAATATAAGTACTGTTCAAGAAACTATACCAGTTGAAGGATGATGAAGGGGTGTGGGAATGAGGGGAGGAAAAGAAAGATGAGGGGGAGACAGACAGACAAGAAGAAGGAGCCTGCAACGGTGAGATCTCAATAGTGTGAGGCCTTCTTTGTGTTTCCGTGTGAGGTTTATTTTGGGGGCGCAGGGGGTTGCTAAGAAAGGAGGCAAAGAGGAGAGGGTGGGGATCCTATCCTGGACCCTCAGACAAGCGGTACATTGTCCTCCCCAATGTGCGGCGGCACTTGTGGCGTAACGCCATTATTTAGGCCAGTGGAGGGAACCGGGGTCTGCAGAGCAGCTTAACCAAAACGCCAATTAGAGCCGGATCATCCTGATTAATGGACGAAGGAGATTGTTAAACAATGCCGGCCATTGTTAACCTAACCCCTACTTTAACAACCAAACTATATATAGATATTAACATGTGTCTCAATCTATTTTGTCACACATATAAAACTCATACCAACCTTCCCAGTGCAAAGAGAACTTAAAGTAAATATCTAATAGATTATAATCCAAACCAAACACAATGCTACTTCTAAGAATAAAGTTTGAATCATTTATTTGTTTTGGGGTTTTTTTATATCCCTAAAATCCTACAACATTGAAGCTACACTCTGAATCAGACTGAACATAATTTGAGTCACTAATTTTCATGAGAGTGGACTCCCTTTCTTAAGAGAAAGATTTTCTGGTTCGTATGCTAATCACACACCATGTGATGCTTGGGTCTGCATCTTAATACGTGCCGCTTTATTGTTTTTTTTAAGCATATGCACTGAATAATTAGTCACTGCATACTCCAATCAGGGGGGACACCAATGTGAGGTTTCCATGGTCACCCCATCAGTTCCCCCCACCTCCTCCTTCTCCTCCTCCTTCTCCTCGGCTGCAAACAGGACAGAGAAAAATAAAGCGTGGGAAAAAAAACTCTTTGGGGGCTCAGACAATGATGGCGGGATAAGGGAGGAGGAGGAGGTGTGATGATTTAAAGAGCAGCTTGTGTCTAGACTGACTGCTGTAGAGTTTGGTTGTTTTGGGGGTCGACGGGGGCATATTTCACATTCTGTGTCTGTCTTCACTGAGGGCATTCTGATTGTAAAAAGGAAATACACAACAACATGAGATTTAGGGATACATAAGAGTATGCACAATCCTACGACTTGCTTGAGGTCTTTATATTTCTTTATAAACGCTAATTTTAGGCAACAGTGCTATCGCTCAAAAAAACATGCAGGCATTTTCCAACCAAACCAGTTTGAGTAACACAATACCTGCTATTTAATCCCAAAATGTGCATGTCTTAATCCCAGAGCTAGTTTTACTTTTAGTCTATGTGATTTTAGACAAAAAATATTAATCATTTACATTTTAGGTCGTATTAGCACAGAATTAATAAAAACTGTCCATCTCTGTGCTGCTTCTTTCAATGTTATTAAGCAATATAATTTTGACTAATTTTAGCTAGGGTAAGGCCCTAATTATTATAGATTTTTTAATGTAACAATAAAATTTCAACAAGCATAATGATGGAGCCCTGTTTCTGTTGCATATGAGATGGTATCGACAAGCCAGTATAGTTTGATGCCTATAAAGTTCTGAAACATTTGAAAAATGTAGCATATACATGTGCAAACCTGTAAGCAATTAGGAAGCAAATGCCCCTTTTAAACGCATCCTGGCTGATGCATATTTGGAATGTCACAATGATCAAACCAATTGTGAAACATGCTGGAAACAATATGTACTATGCAGTGAAACCAGATGTAAGCTAGAAAAAATAGTTTGACATATTGAAGCACTACAAAAATGAAGATGAGTGGGTCTAAAACAAAGTAAAATTGCATCTGTAAGAGGAGAACCAATATCAGTATATTTATCTTATATTTGTCACATTGCAGATTCTTCTGTTGAATAATACCTCTGTGTGTGGACAATGTACTACTTTTCACCCAGTAACTCTTTGTTTTTGTCTTTTCTATAAGATGAAAATTAAAACATTTGATGTGAAATTTCAGAAGGATATAAAAAAACTATTTTTAATCAAATTATATTAGTTGAAAGCTTTTAATGTGTATCATCTTTTCTTTTAAGGTTTCAGATGCGCAGAAGAGGATTTTGACTGAGCCACTGACATCACTTTCACAAAGGTGTTTAAGGTGTTTAAACTACAATGATTAACCTGTTTCAAGGATCTCAAACACAACAACGCAGAGGCAATGCAGTGGGCAATGAATACAGAAGATGCTATCTGAACGATATACCGAACATTGGAAAGCTGAAAGACACACGGATGGATTTTGCAAGCAAACATTGCAAGCTCGATTCTGAGAAGCTGCTCTGCACATCTGTTCAGGAAACATCTGCACTAGATTTTAATGTAGGTCAGAGCTCAGATCAACAATCTCTCTTACAGGCACACAAACAAAAAACAGAAAATTGAGCTGAGACATCAATCACATTTATGCATTTTCATGTAGAAAAGTGGAAATAGTGACGAAATTAGGGAATGTCAGTAGCATATTTACAATAGACAATTTAAAACATTTTGTTTTAATTTTTGATTGAGTCTTTTATTAGTGTTTGTTTTTTATTTAGTGATACATTTTGTCTTGTTTGAATCTGAATGTCTCAGTGTGTTGACAATCTTAGGACTCATTGATGAATCACCTATAACTAACTGCAGTGTCAAATGCTTTTTAACATTTTATTTTATTAATGCATTCTTTAGGATGGTTTAATGTTTATTTTTGTTTTTAGCATAGCATTTCTTTTTAGATATCCTGCAGTCTATTTTTATTTTAATAACTGAAGCACTTTAAAAATGATTTAAAGGATTTTGAATGTGCATCATTATCATAAGACTGGAGCAACCTCAGCAGTCTTTTACAATCTGTGTTTGTGTTGCACACTTACTCTGCAGGGATTTTAGTTTTGTGCCTAACATTGAATTTACCTATGCAAGAAGAATAAAGTAAGATGCTGTCAAATTTGATAGATTCTGTACTAGTTTTTGCTTAGAAGAGTTTGTACTAAGCTTTTAGATTAGCACTTGAGAGGATAAATGTTCAGGCTTGTTTTATATTAGTAGCACATTAAACAGAGACGTGTTACTAACATACAATGACATGCGCTTTATGAGCACAAGGCAATGTGAAAGGAAAGGGATTTTAAAGGAGAATCTGTAGGATTTTTATTACTTCAAACACTTTTTTCTCTACGAAAATGTATTAATTACTGCTGGTGACAATTGTTAAAAGGTTTTGTTATAATGTAATGTAAACTTATGTGAATGCACTGTGAACAACTGTCTCTTTGGAGTTTCAGAAGTTCAGTTTGCACATAACCTAATATGTACTATGCAGCTTTCTATAACATAAATCAATAAAATAATTAGTGTGAAATTTGTATGTCTATCCTTATTATTATCTCTTCTAAATATGGTTCAGTTTATTCAAAGAGCAACTTAGAAAAAATCTACCTCAACGCTTTGAAAAAGACAGAAAAATAGTCAAACTAATTTCCAATAATATGGACTCAGTATGGACTCAATTCTTTTTTTTTTGTTTAGGGTCCAACACATACTAGTTCAATTAAATGAACCCGAGATATAATAAAAGTCCAATTTAATTGTTAATATCACACAGCTTGCTGCATTATGCTGCTTTTAAGCACCGTTGCCTTGCAGCAAGGGGGTCCTGGGTCTAAATTTCTGCCTTCTGCATAAAGTTTACATGGCCACATATGCATGGGTTTGTTTCTAGCTTTCAGGAAGTCTGCCCTATTCGGCCTTCAAAATCCAGAGGGACATCATTGTCCGCAGTTCAAATAAAACTCATTTGGAACCACAAATGTTACATAATCTTTTGAGAAAAGAAAACTTAGAATTTTTTTATAATTATCTACAATACAAAACATCTTTTTTAGGTTTAGAGAACCATTGTCTATTTTTTATTTTTATTCTGAAGTTTAAAAATTCAGTTAAACATGAAGGGGTGGATATATTTATCTACCATAGGATATTGCTATTACTGGACAATTATGTTAAAAGAGCACATAGCTTCTGCCTTAATGACTTGAAAAATATATTCAGTAAATATTTTAGAACCGACAGTGGTGACAGATGTAGGAGTTTGCCTTGCAACTGGAGGGTTGTTGGTTCAAGCCCCATCTCTGGCTTTCAGTGTCGTTGTGTCCTTATGGGAGACACTTCAACCGCACTATCTAATGATAGTGGTCAGAGGCACTGGTGGTGCCAGTGTATGGCAGCCTTGCTTCTGTCAGGGAACCCCAGGGCAGCTGTCGCTACAATGTAGTTTGCCACCATCAGTGTGTGTGTGAATGGGTAATTGACTGAATGTAGGGTAAAGTCTGCTGAAATTGAAAAGGCACTGCATAAGTACACGCGGAAATATTCAATTAGACAAGACATCAAAAATGTATTTTCAAAATGTAATGAAAAGTCACTGGGAAAAGTAATCGATTAATTGGTCTTTAATTGGTCATTATATGAAGGGCAAGCATTGCATACTTGTAACCATAAGTTTGATCAGTTTTGTGTACTCTGAGCACACAGCTATGTGTTAAAACCAGGCTAAGAAGAACAACACAAGACAAATTAACAATTACAATGAAAAAGAAGAGGGAAAAACAAAAGAGACACAAAGCTTAAAAACGGAAGGTGATAAGAATAGAGGAAAAGAAGGAAAAATAGGACCTGCACACCTGCAGCAAGAGAAAGAGAAAAGACTATAGAACAAAAAGTAAAACAAAAACAAAAGTATCACCCAGAGCCTGAGGGCCCCACTAACTCAGTTGACCATCAATGTCTGTGTAGACCAAGCATCCCCAAAGTTGGCCCTTGAGGCCCGCTGTCCTGCAGGTTTTAGAGGTTTTTCTGATTTAGCACAGCTGATTCTGATGATTGCAGTTCAGCAAAAGCCTGTAAATCAACTATTCATGTTAATCAGCTTTGCTGGAGCAGGGGAACCTCTAAAACCTGCAGGACAGCGGCCCTCAAGGACCGACTTCGGGGATGCCTGGTGTAGACCAACAGATTCTAGAGTCGAATCTTAATTTCGCTGAAAGCTGGGACTTTTTGACCAAATGTCTGTAAACCTCAATAAACTAAAGCAATTTTATAAAGACAAATTAGCAAAAATGTCTTCACGAGAAGACGCGCCACGACTTTAAGCAATAGCTGCTGGAGGTTGTTTGACAAGTTATTAGATCCCTCCAACCCCCCAAACACCGGACACCATTTAGACCTTGGTATATAGGCTTAATCTGGTCAGTCCATGATAATCTTGATTTAGTACAGAAATAGTTATTGAAAATTGGCTGTGTTTGGTCGGTCTGATTTTGTCCCACTTTAGTCCATAATAGACGTTGAAAAGATGTTCTAAAAAAGGCTTTTCACCTTTCACTTTTCAACCAAACGTAGACGCAGTTTGGACTTAAATCATGTGGTCTTTGTAATGCCTTTTCAGCCAATTTTTTTCTCGGTGGGAAGCTTTTACACTTTAGCTTGATCTTTATTATAGGTATTTTGGAGAATTTTTCTAAAAGACCCACCTTCTCCAATTTAAAAAAAAAAGCACATGCACAACCCTGTACCCGCTCCAGAGAGAGAACATATTAAACACGTGCGAGAGCGTGCACAAGGCTATTTCTCTTCTTGCATGCTCTATTTAAAATTTGCTGTTTGCATTGCTCATACAAGCTTACTTTCCAAAAGAGGATTTGCAGTTTTTCCACTATGTCAGACTCGCCACTGGTAAGTGAAAATGGTGACGAGCATGTAGAATCGCCTTACGTAAAGATATCGCCAGAATGATTGACAATTAGGAGGACCTCTTATTTTGATGATCCACCCTGAAAGAACATCCTCCACTATATTTTTAAATATTGACAGCATATAGATTCTTTTGTCTCTTAGCCTATTTGAGGTTAAATGGAAGCTATTCCATCTAACCTTTAAGTGCATTAGGATTTAGGTAGAATCCACTCACTTTAACATATTTAGGTAATGCACCCTCACAGAATGTAGCAAACTGAAGAAAAAGAAAATGCATCTAAAAACACCTTAGAGATGGAAGACAACACTGTGTTAAATGTATGTATAACATGTTCGCCTGAATGTCAATGAAAGAGCAGGGATATAAAAATCAGGAAGTCGCATCTGCTTAAAGTCTCGAATCTGTGGCAGCGAGCCGCAGCTGCTGGAAACAAAGTGCAGGCCAGTGGATCCAGCTGCTACCGTGCTGCATCTAACAACATCTGGAAGTGTCATCTCTCTTCAGTTCACAAACACCCTGTTACAGTTCAGACTGAGCAGCACTAAATATAAGCATGAATCATCCCTGCTGCTAGATGACTGTTAAAACCAAACTGTTATTTATGGCTTACAAGATGAAAGTTTAAAACATTTTAAAGGCTATTCTTTTCAGGGTTATTATGTTAAAAAAAAAAAAAAAAAAGAATCATTAGTGATGGCCAAGATTCATCCATGTCCTACAGATATCTTAAATGCTGTTTAGAGAGACACCCAGGAGGCTGGAAGACAACCCAATAGCTAATGGATCAGAGGCAGGCATTTACTTTGGTCTGGTTCATCACCAAGCCAAAACATACATGAATGAAAGTAACAAAGACACAGGTGTGCTTTTAGAGTCTCATATCGACCCAGCATGCATATTTTTGGACTGTGGGAAGAAACTAGAAAGAACTCATGCATGCGTGCAAGAACATGCAAATTTATACATACAAAGGCCACAACACGGAGACATTCTCTGTCTCCAAGAGCATCAGCATTGATTGGCAGGTTATATTTAACTCATTGTCTTTTAGACAGATTCCATGAGTTTTCCCACTGACCTTAAACTATAAGACCTTCAGTCATGACAACTTCAAGCATATACTATACCCAACACTAATGTTGATTTAGTTCATTATTTAAAAGTTAAATAAAAAAGAAAATACTCAAATTCAAATACAATTTCCAGTGCTATCAAAATAGGCAACTGTTTTGGTTTTGGAGCATAACTGATTCATAAAATAAAAAAACGCTTTTGTAGTTTTCACTTATTCATCTTGTAAAGAGATCTTTCTACCTTTTGATTTTCACTAAATACGACTTATATATAAGCTACTTATATAGATTTTTAAAGAAAAGCTTACTCTAATAAGAAAGCACAATCAATCTTATAAAGGAGAGTAGAATACTTGTGTCCCAATTATTGAACATATGTGCTCAACTGTCTGACCTTTAGCGTCTTCCTACCTTTAGTAGGTTCTGATTCTATACCTTAATTAATGGCTCTATTTAAATTAAAAGGTGCTAAAGTATGGAGAAAACGAAAGAGAAGAAAAATGTCAACTTAATCATTTTTTTCAAGTATACCATATAACATGGTTTTAAAGAGGCATAAGTGCATAACTAGCTAAGCAGGCTGCAAATTAGGGAGAACGTGTCAGTGACTGATGCAAGCAAGTACTGTGTCAGGTTTGGGGACTGCAGAGTTTCTCCATGTGGAGTGAAAAAAAGAGAGACATAAAAAATGAATTTATCTAAATTAACAGTACGGTAAGTTAAATGTTACAGCCTCTTCAAGAGTCTGATTTGGATAACATATATCTATTGATATTTTTCTCTCATTTTCAAAGCAGTAGAATCTCTTTATATTACCATTGACTCAAGCAAGGGATAGAATAATTAAAATTGTTACTCCATTTAACTGGTATACAGTATATAAAAGAGTGGAACGCTCCACTGCTCATCAAAAGCTCAGCTGTAGAGGTGGTCAGCAGCACCAAATTCCTGGGGGTGCACATCATAGACAACCTCATCTGGACTGTAAACACCACCTCACTGGTCAAAAGGGCACAAAAGCGCCTTTACTTCCTGTGGAGGATGAGGAGATCCCACCTGACCCCACCCATCCTCATCACCTTCTACAGAAGTACCATAAAGAGCGTTCTGACCAGCTGTCTCACTGTGTGGGATGGAGGCTGCAGCGCCTCAGATTGGAACAGCGTGGTGAAAACAGCAGAGAAGATCATCGGGGCTCCTCTTCCCTCCATAAAAGACATTTCATCCCAGTGCTGCGTGTCCCGAGCCAGTAACATCATCAATGACCCCTCACATCCCCACCATGGAATGTTCTCCCTGCTGCCCTCTAGGAAGAGGCTTCGATGCATCCACTGCAGGTTCAGCAGATTCTGGATAAGTTTCTTCCCTACTGAACAGCTGAACTGTTGAAAAGACTCTAAATCAAGTCATAGACTCTGCAAAAAACTGATAACAGCAAACCAAAACACTGCATATTTGCACGATATATATATATATATGAACTTCCATATCAATGCGTTTTTTCCACGTTTTTTCTCCCACACATTTGATCACTGC